TTTACCATGCATCGGTCTCAGCTGGGGTTCTTGCTGACTGCAGATTCTGATTAAGGAGATCCGGGCTGGGGCCTGAGATTCTGCATGGCTAGCAGGCTCCCAGGGGCTGTCCGTGCTGGTGGTGGGAAGGGAAGGGAAGGGAAGGGAAGGGAAGGGAAGGGAAGGGAGAGATGTATTGTGAGCTGACCCAAATGTCTCATAGGACCTAGCAACTGCAGCAGCTGGAGCCTTAAGGAATGATTAGAACTAAAGGCTTGAATGACGTCTGGACACTCTCCATCTCTGCTTTTGTGTTTACATCTGGGAAAAATAATAGTAGCAATAACAACCTACTTCCAAGGGCTGTGAAGATGCAATGAATTAACATGTCTACAACACTTAGAGCAGTGCCTGGCATGCAGTAAGTATTCAGATAGAAGGCTCATGACATGATTATCATCTTCCTTTGCAACTGGGCTTGTTTCCACTTCTTCAGTGGGAAATGTGATTGACATCGGCATATCTCATAGGCAAGTACCCAAGGAGAAACTGATGGGACTTTACCTTTTCCAAGATCAAATATTGACCAGAAAAGATTCATTGGCCCAGCCTGCCATAGGTGCCCATCCCTGGGTTAATCAACCGGGGTCAGAAAATTGAGTCGAAATAAAAAAAATCATTGTTACCACTGCAATCACGTGGAAAGGGGGGAAAACAGTGGGAAAGGAGTGCTGGGCAGGCAATCCTACAGGCATCCTGGACAGTCCCCTCAGGGTACTCACAAAATGAAGTCACCAGGGAAGGAGAGGGCCTTATCCTGGTCTTCATTTTCATCCAAGGCAAGATGAAGACAGAGAAGTCATGTCCACTGAGTGGAACTGACATCAGATTCAAGGGAATGGAGAGTCTGAGGGACAGGGCCAAGGAAGCACCAGAACAGATGGGAATGAGGGCACCTGCACCAACTGCACTTGGGTCTGGAACGGTGAATGGGAAAATGCGGCTGTGCAGAAACATGTGGAAAAATAATTAAAAGGCTTAAATGGCTCATGCTTGTCATCCTAGCACTTTGGGAGGCCAAGGCGGGCAGATCACCTGAGGTCAGGGGTTCGAGACCAGCCTGGCCAACATGGCGATACCCCTTCTCTACTAAAAATACAAAAATGAGCTGGGCGTGGTGGTGCGCCCTTGTAATCCCAGCTTCTCAGGAGGCTGAGGCAGGAGAATCGCTTGAACCCAGAAGGCGGAGGTTGCAGTGAGCCGAGATCGCGCCACTGTACTCCAGCCTGGACGACAGATTGAGACTCTATCTCAAAAAAATATTCCAGTAAGATCGTTGAGTTGTGAGACAGAAAGTAGGAGAGAAAGAGAAAATATGATGCTAGACTGAATTAATGGAAGACCAATACCATGAATAAGAGAAGTGGTGGTCCAGGATGACTTGTACTGCTAAAATCACATCTCTGATGTTACAGTCAGTCCCAGGTGTATCACTTTAAGAAAACTGGAAATAAACTGCATCCCTTCAGTCTGATGTTGGTGGAGGAGCCTGAAGCTCACGTGAGGACCCTTTAGAACCCCAAGAGAACCTGGTGTGTGTGGGTTTCTCAAAAACAGATCAATAAATGTTGCTGTGGTATGTCTATAAATACTTTCCTGGCCAGGTGCAGTGACTCATGCCTGTAATCCCAACACTTTGGGAGGCCAAGATGGGTGGATCACCTGAGGTCAGGAGTTCAAGACCAGCCTGGCTAACATGGTGAAACCCCATTTCTACTAAAAATACAAAAAATTAGCCAGGTGTGGTGGCGGGCACCTGTAGTCCCAGCTACTCAGGAGGCTGGGACAGGAGAATGGCGTGAACCCAGGGGGTGGAGCTTGCAGTGAGCCGAGATGGCACCACTGCACTCCAGCCTGGGCAACAGAGCAAGACTCCATCTCAAAATAATAATAATAAAAAAAAAAGACTAAAGAAATTTGGATGGCCTTTGGTTGTCTTCAGTGAGCTGATCTTATAAATTTGCTAACCTTATACATTGCTGACCTCATACATTAATAATAGTTCAGTACAAAGCAGCACTGTTTTAGGCTGAATTGTGTCCTCCAAAATTCATATGGTGAAGTTCTAGTCCCCAGGACCTCAGAATGTGATCCTATTTAGAAAAAGAACTGTTGTAGAGATAATTAGTAAGGTTAGCTCATTAAGGTAGGCCCTAATCCAATATGAGTCACGTTCTTACAAAAAGGGGAAATTTGAACACAGAGGCAGACATATACAAAGGGAAGATGGCGTTAAGAGTTATAGGGAGAAGACGGCCATCTACAAGCCAAGGAGAGACGTCTGGAACAGAGCCTTTCTTTACAGCTCTCAGAAGCAACCAATCCTGCCAACACCTTGATTTCAGACTTCTGGCCTCCAAAACTGAGAATAATTTTTGTTGTCTAAGCTACCCAGCTGATGGTACTTTCTTATAGCAGCCCTACCAAACCAATATTTGGATACCAAATTTTACCATGCATCGGTCTCAGCTGGGGTTCTTGCTGACTGCAGATTCTGATTAAGGAGATCCGGGCTGGGGCCTGAGATTCTGCATGGCTAGCAGGCTCCCAGGGGCTGTCCGTGCTGGTGGTTTTCATGCCGTATTTTGAGTAGAAATACTCTAGCGGGCACAGGCACTATTACAATGACAATCTTTTGAGTACATTAGAAAAACATGGTGACAGATGGCTGATAAACTGATTTGTAAATGGCTATTCATTTGTTCAAATCCTATTTTAAAAAATGGATTTTTCTAAATAATTTTTGGATGAGAGGAAGTTACAAATTGTAAATTATATAGAAATTAAAAATGAAAGCCTATCATGTTAAAATCTAAGGGATATGGCTAAAATTTAAATCAGAATAAAATGAATATTTATAAATGTATTATTATACCACAAAGAGGTAAAATAATTAAACTAACCTTATAAACTAGCAAGAAAAACAGGATAAACCAAATGAAATAAAAATGAACCAGTAAAGATAACTAGGAATTAATGAACTGGAAGACAAAAAAGTAAAATTGGTAAGCATAATCAAAAGTTGGTTTTTTGAAAGACAAAACAATGCACATCAAGCTTAAAAAGAGAGTGGGAAAATATGCAATAAAAAAATGAGAAAGAAGGTATGGTACCAGTGCAGATAATAATAATTAGGGAAATAAGATACACAACTTTTTGCCAATAAATTTGAAAAATAGGTGGAAAAAAGTTTTATTACAATAGTGTCCTAAGAAGCCTCTAGAAATAGAAAGCTTGAGTAGAACAATAACCTTAGAGTAATCTGCAAGTTTATCAATGTCTACCACTAAAAAATGCACTGGTGATTCATAATTACCAAGCAAGTGCTATTTCAGCATAGTAGGTAATTATCATATTATCCCAACTATTTTAGAGAGTCAAAAACTTTCAAATTCATTTTATAAAGCCAGTATAAGTCTGATATCAAAATCTGATGAAGACAACACAAAAAAGAAAAACATAAATCAGGATTTTAAAAACTTGAATCATACATAGACTATTTTTTGGAGAGAAAATAAGTTATTAACCTCCAGAGATGAATTGTTACTTTAATGTTTCTTAAATATGTGAACTTACGAGCTCAGAAGCTCCTTGTGCTCATAAGTTTGTACACGGCTATAAATAAAACAGTTAA